TGAGTGCAATTTTCGCTCGACGGTCAGATTTAACTCCACCACAGTCATATGATGTTTGCTCTGCAGTAGAAATATATACATATATACGTCCATTAATAACCATATATACATAAATTTAGTCCGAAACCATCCGCTTAGACAGGAAGTGGCTGTCTAAGAGTCTCCTCCAGTACTTCATGTGCCATTTAGAGTCAATCTGAAACCAATGCTGCAGCAGCAACACTATAGTGCTTCACTGAGTGTGAATACAGCAGCTCTTCATCTGTGTGTTACAGAAGAAAAGTTGCTGAAACTCCAGCGGTCAAGAAAGAAGAAAACAGCAGCGTGAGTCTCTGTGTGTGTGAGTGTGTGTGTGTACAGTGGGTACGGAAAGTATTCAGACCCCCTTAATTTTTTCACTCTTTTTTATATTGCAGCCATTTGCTAAAATCATTTAAGTTAATTTTTTTTCCTCATTAATGTACACACAGCACCCCATATTGACAGAAAAACACAGAATTGTTGACATTTTTGCAGATTTATTAAAAAAGAAAAACTGAAATATCACATGGTCCTAAGTATTCAGACCCTTTGCTCAGTATTTAGTAGAAGCACCCTTTTGATCGAATACAGCCATGAGTCTTTTTGGGAAAGATGCAACAAGTTGTTCACACCTGGATTTGGGGATCCTCTGCCATCCCTCCTTGCAGATCCTCTCCAGTTCTGTCAGATTGGATGGTAAACGTTGGTGGACAGACATTTTGTCTGTTCTCAGGCTGATTCTGAGAACAGTGACTCCAGAGCTGCAGGTGAGAGTCAAATCACTTCGTCATTTCTCTGCACTTCCTGTTCACGGTGAACATCATGACCTCAAACGCTCTTCCTGTTTCTCATTCAGACAAACCAGACGTGAAGAAGCCCTGGGAGAAACCGTCGTCTGTGTCACGGTAAATGACTGACGACTCCTGCTGTGTGATTCAGACAGATGTTTTACTCTTACGTAGGATCGTTTAGATTTTCAGTTTTCAATTGCATTTTAGTTATTTGGTTGTGGGCTTTTGTCATTTCTATTAGTTTTTGTTTTTTAAATTATTTATTTAGATATATATATATATATATATATATATATATATATATATATATATTAGTTAATTTATTTATAATTTAATTTATATTTTTATCCAAATATTTATACATAAATAAATATACAGTTTATTATTTTTTATCCAATATTTGTTTTATTTTATTTCAGCTTTCGGTTTTTATAGTTTTAGTTTTAGTTATCAACAACCACACTGTTTTTAAAAAATATTTCTGAATAGGTTTTTTTTCTTTTCAGTTTTGGTTTTATTCTACTTATTTAGTACTTAAACTTGCTTCAATTACTTGCCAAGGCAATATTTAAAAATTTTTGTTTGTTTTTTTAATAGCTTTTTTTAATATATATTTCAGCTTTATGTCAGTAAACACATGTTTTTAATAGTTCTAGTTTTGGTTAACGATAACAGGGTGAACTCAGCGTCTAAGAGTCAGGACAAGAGCCCGGTGTCTCCTGCGACCGCGGCTCTGTTGAGCAGGTTTGTCCCGCTTCTGTTCAGTGAGTTCTGCTCTTCTGAGCGTCTGTGTGCTGAAGATCTGTGTGTTTGGCTTCTTCCTGCAGGACGAGGCCCGGCAACAGCACAGGAGACGCCGCAGACATGGAGAAACTCAAACAGGTCAGCAGCTGCATCACACACACACTCTCTCACACACACACACACACACACTCACTTACACACACGCACACACACACACACTCACTTACACACACGCACACACACACACACTCACTTACACACACGCACACACACACACACTCACTTACACACACGCACACACACACACACTCACTTACACACACGCACACACACACACACTCACTTACACACACGCACACACACACACACTCACTTACACACACGCACACACACACACACTCACTTACACACACGCACACACACACACACTCACTTACACACACGCACACACACACACACTCACTTACACACACGCACACACACACACACTCACTTACACACACGCACACACACACACACTCACTTACACACACGCACACACACACACACTCACTTACACACACGCACACACACACACACTCACTTACACACACGCACACACACACACACTCACTTACACACACGCACACACACACACACTCACTTACACACACGCACACACACACACACTCACTTACACACACGCACACACACACACACTCACTTACACACACGCACACACACACACACTCACTTACACACACGCACACACACACACACTCACTTACACACACGCACACACACACACACTCACTTACACACACGCACACACACACACACTCACTTACACACACGCACACACACACACACTCACTTACACACACGCACACACACACACACTCACTTACACACACGCACACACACACACACTCACTTACACACACGCACACACACACACACTCACTTACACACACGCACACACACACACACTCACTTACACACACGCACACACACACACACTCACTTACACACACGCACACACACACACACACACACACACTCTCTCTCACACACACACACATACACATCTCATCTAAAACACCACCTGTCTGATCGCAGGACATCCTGGAGGAGATGCGCAGCGAGCTGCAGAAAGTGAAGGATGAGATCATCAGCGGTCAGTCATGTGATCTGCACAGAAATGCAGTGATGAGTTCCTGCTTTGACGCTGTGAGTGTTGTGTTTCATCCACAGCTCTGCTGGAGGAGCTGCAGAAGATCAATGCGGCGTAGCTGCGCATCAGGACGATCTGCGCAGAAACACGAGCACGTGCACACACTTCAAGATGCAAGAATCTCACTCCTGCACCCGACTTACTCGCTTTTACCCTCGTAGTTTTACACCTGCTGCCTTTCACTTTTCTTTATGTGAATATTCATGATCTCTATTAATATGTTTCTGATCCGCTGCTGTGTCAAGCGTTTATTGTGTCTGTTGCATGTGTTTAAATCATGTAGAGCTCTTACATGTACCACCTGCATCTAGAAATAGTGCCACTAGTTAGTTGTTTACGTCTGTAATGATCAGAATGCGTGGGATTCTGTGTTATTGCAGCTTATTTATCTTGCACTGTTATGTAAACTGTGTTTGACCAGCAGGGGTTTTCAAAGCGGGAGTGTTAGCGGGTCAGTGACAAAAATGATCTAGAAATACATTTAATATATATATATATATATAAAATAAATAATTTGATTGAATTAAAAATTTGATAAAAATAAATTTATTTAAAAACAAAAAATGTGAATAGAATAAAAATGTGATTTAAATATATTTACTTTTTAAAAGTTGAATAAAATGAAAATTTGATTAAAATTTACTTGATTTAAAAAATGTATAATTCGAATAAAATTTAAAAGTTGATTAAAATAAATTGTTTTAAAAATAAATCATTTCAATAAAATAAAAATGTTGATTAAAAGAAATGGCAAATAAAATTATTTGGATAAGAACTTTAAAATAAATTGGTTTAACAATTAATAATTGTAATCAAATAAAAAGTTGATTAAAATGTACTTAAAGATGTGATTGAAATAAATCTAATGGTACAGTATTCTAGTGAGCAAAAAATTGCATTATTAAAAATTATTTGAATAAAATACAAACGACAAAAAAATACATTAGTTTAAAAAGTAAATAATTTGGATTTTAAAAAGTTGACAAAAATGTATTTTAATTAAATAAGCATTTTCCAAATAATATTATATGCATATTTATAATCGGTTTTCACAATATAAATGTTTTTTTTAGCTGCCTTTTAAATGTTAGAATGGGCCCCTTGCACCAGGATGGTGATATTTAGGGGTCCATGGCCTCTGAGTTTGTTCAATCTTGTAATGTCTGATTGAAGATGATGCAGATGTGAGTCTCAGGGATGCACAGATGTTCTGAAGCTCTGAATGTGTTTGAGGAACACCAGCTGTCACAAACAATCTGTTCATATGGGTTTCTTTTGTAGCTCATTAACAGAAAAGCACTGTAGTATTACTAATTAATGTCACACTTTGTATAGCACTGACTATCTTATGCTATGCCCTGTTTGTTATTCTATTTTCATTAAAAAAAAACAACCTCTGAACACGAGTCAGTCGTGCAAAGCGTGCTGAATTTTAACCTGAATTAAAACCTTAATTTTGAATTTTAAAATTAAAACCATTGTTTTATGATCAATCCAAAGCAATTTTTTAATGAAATGTTAAATGCTGTGACACTGCATTACTCAATTATTTACTAAATAGCACTTCATAGTTTTTTAACTAAAAACTTCTTCTGATCAATACAAAGCAAAGATTTTAAAGAGATTACATTTTCTGACATCGATATAAAATAAGGTTTTTTTTTACATTTTATAAGTTTTAACTTTTGTTTTTAACAAGTTTAAAT